AGTTCTAGTGCCCTGATCCGAGGCGTCCATCCTTTCGTGAGGCTCTTTCCAGTTCTCCCGCGCCAAAGTTCACGCTCGCAATATATCCTTTATCGACTAGCCAGAGTATGGTAACCTTCTAGCCCGATTCACATTCTGAGAAATTACGACGAAACGACCCGTGACTTTTTTTTTTTTTTTTTTTTTTTTATACCACCTGGTAGCTTCGCGGTGGTAATTATGTGGCTTCATGAGCCCGCTTCCTCTTTGGGAATCACCGTGATGATCGAGCCTTTTTTTTGGTGGTGTCTGCTGGGAAACTCCCAGCACAAAAGGCTAATACTCTGAGTAGCTTGACGGGTTGGTGATTTTGATTCTTGCTGCTTCAGATTGATTGCATAGATGAGATGTGGGGGCAGGGGTAGGTACCTAACCGGGCTAGGTAGGATTCAGGAATAGGTCCTGCAGCACACACTCTGTAGCTAAATTTGCGGGCAACCCGAGGCCTGGAATCACGAGAGTTGGCTGGGTGGTGCTTTGCGACATCCTTTTCCTTTTTATTTATATTTTTTTAATTTTCATATAGTTCTGCTTCCTCTTCCTCATTTTATCACTGTCAATTGAGTTTTGTTCAGGATGCGCCGGAAATGGCACCAAAAAACATATCTCTCGACATTGATGTACTCTATATTATCGTGAGCCTCGGCAGCTGGAGTCAGGGGGCGTGTACTCGAGCGCATGTATTTTATGTAATCGTACGAGAAACACAGACGCGGCGTCGTATCTGCAAATTGCAAATCTTCCAAAGAACGATCGCCAAAATGTTTGAGATACATTCGAAAGCTTGTCCTCGGCGTGACTTTGCTCAATGTCGCCTTGCCAAAAGTCAGTTATCTACTGCACGCCCGCCCGTGGATGGCATCATCGTTTTACCATCAAAAATCCGCCCAACGTTTGTTGGGCCCCCCGGCGTCGTCCCGCTCGCAAAAGGAACGCAAACGGGCAAACACGATAGGTAGTCCTAGTCTGCTGCACTTGTTTGGTCGTCTCGGTCTTTGTGGCGACGCCAGGCTTGCCAGGGAATGCCCCGCGCAAAGCCCGAATCCGTGGTGGCCGGCCAGCCTTGCGGAATGAGCAGTTTGGAGAGACAGAGACGGAGACAGAGGGCAAGACACGGGTTTTCCTTGTGCCGCCAGCTGGGATCGCCCTTGGTGGTCTTCACAGTGCCTGCTCAACAAAAACTCAATCATCATCCCAAAAAGCAGCAGACAGGCATTCTCCCAGGACAACCCATCTTGCACAGTTAGTTTGCTCGCGAACGTGGTGACCGCCACCTCATCGTTGATGGCGATAAACCACCAAGAAGGCACGCTAAAGAGCCTCCGTTGTGCAACCTGAAGAGTGCATGCGCTCCAAGATTGCAGATTGACATTGGGGAAGGGGAGGGGGGGTGCGTGGTGCGTGGTGCGTGGTGAGTGAGGGGCCGATCATCGCCATCTCCGGGGGACATACCAGCCTTCCCGGCAACGGCAACGGCAACGGCACACTGGCTTGCCCGGGCCGGCTTACACACGGGGTGGTTGGTGTTCCGCTGAAGAACCGTTTGCAACCCATTCGGCATGGTCGGACTGTTTCCAACGTCATCCATTCGTTCACAACGATCTGCAAGACATGTACGGATACAGGACGTTTCCGAAAAGAGTGTGAGGACAAGAGTACCTACGGGAAGCCGATCCAGCCCATGACGTTTGAGTCGCACAACGTTCTTCCCGACAAACTTCTCCCCCCACGACCAAACAGCTCCGAACAGCAGGTTGAAGAACTCTGGGGTGGGAGGGTGTGGGCGCAAACGAATACGCCTCAAACTCATCCCGGCGGCGAAACCCCGACCCGGCAGCTTCGTGTATAATTGCCCATTACCAAGGATCCGGTCCGAGTCCGAGTTTGTCTGCTCAAGCTCAACCCCGTTCATGTTGGCGTCTACTCTATGCTTGGTGAAATTTCACAAGGCCAACCCCCAAATGCTAAACTAAGCGCCGTCTGTTTGGAATAGATTACTGTCTGTAAACACTATTTTTGGCCCCCCTCTTCTACATGACACCGGGCTACACGTGTTAAGGCTTCAAGGACGTGGGACCTGGGAGACAGAAAAGGTGGCCAAAAGACAGTGCAGGAACGTGTAAAGTGGTTTGTGGATCACAACCTCTTCAGCCGCAAGTCCACAGAGGCTCCGAGGTTTGCCACGATGTTCCCGGAGCGCGCCAGCCCACATGGCTTCGACGGGTGTGGCCCGCACTCGGCAGGCCGCCCGTTCCAGCCCCCGCCCGTCCCCATCCGACGCGGTCTCTTCACGGCTTTTCCGTCAGAGGTCCGTACTATGGCCTACGGGGGATGACCGGGGGGGCGAGGGAAACGAACGCACGTCTGCTGCCAACTTGTCGTGTTGGCCTTTACAGCTTTCGATTCTGCACAATGTATGTATGTAGTCGTGTAAGCCTCGTTTGGTGGGAACGTCATTTGACCTTTTTGAAAGCATGCAAGACCCTGCCATGTTGCGTTCTACAGCGCATCCTTGGGTCCCTCCTCCTTCTTGGGATCGCGTACAGCGCTCCATGGCCCAGGCACCCGGCGTTTGGAGGTTACATTGCGGACGAGACCAGGCGAAAGAAGACCGTCCCCGCTGCTGCCGCCGCCGCCGTCTGCGTTGCACCCGAGGCTACTTTGCACTCTCGCCTTGCGCCGGGGATCGGGGGATTCGGGACTGTCATACTGTATACGCAACCCGTAGTATTACTGCTCGTGATCTAACGCACCCATGACAAGCGGCGCTAGAATCGAGCCAACACCCGGATGGATGGATGATTGGGAATGGAGCGATGGACAGACCGCAGCCCTACAATGCGATGGACAAGAACGACTGCCGAAGCGTGCTCCCCTTACCCTGCTGCGACATTCGTCTTTAATCGCAGAACACGCAGAACAAGCTCCCTCTTTGGGCCGCACCATCTGTCTTCAAGGGATCTGCATCCAATCCCCCGATGCCAAATCCACGCCGACCAATCACCGTGCCCGAAGCAAAAAGCAGGATTTCCCTTCGCAACCCCCCACGTGCCACCTGATATCTGCCTCTTCACGAACCCTCCCAAACCTCCTCCCACCACTGTCCCTCAAAAGTTTTCTTGATCCTCATGATTTTGCTATATCGCGGGACGATATGACAGTATGTAGTCTAATGCTGCCTCGCCGTTCAAAAATGAAGCGTGCGCCACGGCTGGAGGGGTGGCGACGTCGTCAAAAGACACTTTTCACAGTGGGAGCAGAAAATCGAAAGAGAAAAAAAAACTAGTCGATACGTTGACGACAGGGCCGCATCTGCAAACTGTACACTGCATACTGCACACTGCAGCAAAGCGGAGATGGAACAGGCGCCAGGCGCGGATAATGGCGGTGGACGATGGACGGCTGACGGTGTGATAGTGGGGTCTCCTTTTTTTTTTCTCCCTCCCTTCTCTCCCGTCTCTATTCTGCATTCTGCGTACGGATACCTCGTGTGGACCATGAAGCGGTGGACGATAGCGACAACGTGTTTCCTGCATTTTTTTTTTCCTCCTTGGTTTAAAGGAGAGCCCGCATCGCGATACCGGGGTTGTCGTTCCTCTTTCGTCCTTGTCGTCCGCAGGCCCCCCCAGCAACATATGAGAAGCGAGATAGAAAAAAAAAAAAAAAGAAGGGAAAAAACCACAACGTTGCTGCATGGACTCCATGTTACAATTGACGTACCACGCCTTCAGCCACGCTGCAGCACCCTGGCTGCATTCGACTGATTGATCGTTGAAGTGACTGGGGGGACGAGAGACAGACGAGGAAGAGAGTGATTGGACAACTCACAGGCATTGCGTACTATGCTAGGTAGAAGAGAGAATGAGAGAATGAACTCTTTTTTTTCCCCACATACGTAGTATAATCACCGCCAAGGCTTTTCCTCTCGACCAGGGGTGGGGCCGGGAAGGGACTCGAGGGAGCATGGGCCCTGACGATGAAAGCTGTGGATGTGGACCGGGGGTAATGATGGATGGACCCACTTTCTGCGGAAGAGGCGAACTACCTTTACGTGTAGACGTACCCTTTTTTTGCCTTTGAGAAAACAGCCTCATGATGTGGCTATTTTAGAACTCACATCCCAGTCGGCAACCTCGACCCCCAATCAGCAGCAGCATCATCATCATCATCATCATCACCACCACCACCCATCTCCAAAAACCTGTTCCAAAAGGTTCGACTGACAGGTGGCATCGCCCAATCTATCGATTTTCAACTCAAAACTCTCGCAGCACCTTTTTTAGCACAGACTTCCCTCCACCCCCTCCTTCGCCACTGTCACCGTAGCTGTCAAAAAGAAGTATTCCGCCTACTAACCCAGCCCCCCTACCTTACCCCATTGACAGGTTCCAGCCGCACCATCCGCACCACGCGCGCCCTCACAGCTTGAAGACAGAATCAAGGCGGGGGTTTTTTTGGGGCGCGCGTGTTAGACATACATACGCACATATAGGACCAGGCGTTGATGGTATTACCTTTAGCCCGGATTTAGAAGGGGGGGAAGAAAGAAGAAGGAATTATTGAACGCAGGGACCACAATGTGACTGTCACGAGCTGGCCTGGATTGGGCGAGGGGTCGTGAATCGATGAGGTAAGTGGGATGAATGGATGGATGGATGGATTGAGCTATTCGAACAGCGTCGTAGCGAAAGACGTACTGCCGTCTCTTTCGTTGTCGTTATCGTTTGCTCGCCCATCGGCATCGAGACATTTGCAAGCTCAGTGCCAGGTCGTCCGGAGTGCCGTGGGCCGCATTCCACACGCATTTCCGCACGCATTCCCACACACGTACACAACACGGCAGTTTCTAAACCTTAGACCAGGCACCAATCACAAACCGCTGCTGGCTGGCATTCAAAAAGAGGCCGAAACCGAAGCTTGGGGAGCCGGTTCGTCAGATGCAGCGGGACCGAGCCACACGAGCTGCATGGGGAAAACGCTTGCCGGACGCTACTTTACACTGGCTTCAATTCGTCAACGGTGCAAGCAGTCATGTCACGAGCGCATTGAGGTTGTTGCACGGATAGTTGAACAATTCGAACATTGTTGTTGGTATCATTGATTGGTTATCTACTAGCCCGCGCCACCCCCGAAGTCTCGCGGGGGGGCCGATTCTGCTGCCCGGTGGTAGGCCGCGCTCCCAGGCGTGCTCGTCCCTTTGTGGTACATGCCAGGACCATACGATGATGTATGCCTGCGGCTTTTGATGTCTTCTTCTCCCGTCCTCTTCCCCTTTTGCTTTACACATTACTCAACCCGTCTGTACACGCAAAGAAATTCGTTCCGTCGTTATTGGAAAAAAAAAAGAGGATGGCCTGCGCCAATGGAAGAAGAAAGTGTTGGCCGAGCCCAGTTATTCCGTGACAGTCGTCGCTGCCCGTGACCCGAGGGTCAATTTGAAACGCCGTGATCCAGTTCCGGTCCCCGTTCGAGCGCCGTGCATGCAAAGCAAATCGTCCCAATCCGAATGCAAAAATAGTGGTGCAAGCAAAGAGTCCTGCCGTTGACTGTCGGCGTTGTTTTTTGTATTTGGTTTTTTGGTTTTTTCCTTTGGTGGGTGAGCGGCGACTAGCCAATCTTGATGCTCTTCCGGCGGTTGGTGAAGCCGCTGAGAATTCGGCTCCGGGTGTTGCCCGCGGGTGAGCTGGGCGATTGTACCGGAGCAACGGGAGTAGATGGGGTCGGGGGTTGGTTCTGCGCGTTCTTCTTGGCCGCCCGCATGATGTCGTTGTAGCTGACTGCGGACCAAGGTGCCTTCTGCTCGGGCTCTTCTCTAATGTCTGTGTGGGCCGACAGGGGCAGGTGTCCCAAGGATGGCGAGGACAGGCGGTCGCGAGAAGAGTTGTTGGCAGCGAGATCTCTCAGCTGAGGACGGCTGCGCTTGCGGACAATGCTAAGAGTCCTCTTGAATAATTGAGACGTGGGCGTCTTGGGTCTTTCGTGCCGCTCCGCCTCCGTCTGCTGCTCATCGGCCCGCTCATCAAACGGCTTGCTGGCGTAAGGGTCGATGCTGAGGAAGGAAGGCTTCTCCTTTGGCAGCATGCTGCTAGTGATCATCATGCTGCTAGACCTGGGTGGGTGGTAGACAGGAGAGAGGGAGGCGCCGCTCGTGGAGGAGGTGGACATCCTGCGCAAGGAGGGTGCTGTTGATGAAATGACCAAGCGACTCGTGGGTCTGCTGCACTCAATGGACTCGGGCGAGGCGGATCTTCTGGTGGAGGGGAGGTCGATGATGGAGGGCTTTCCGGCGAAGACGACAGAGACGACGCGTGCAGTATCTTCTTGGCTCTTCCTCCGGACGGGGGAGTCGGCGGATTCTGCACTCTCGGACTCGTAGTCGTAATCTGAAAACTCGTCGGCCGAGGAGGAAGCTTCTTCTTCGGAAGAGAGGTAGACCTCTTGGGGTGCTGTTTGCGCGGGTTGGTTTGTGATGATCTTGAGTGCCATTCCGTCGAGGAGTCTCGACGCTCTCAGTGAGCTCTTGGCCGGTAGCGCTGGTGCAGTTTGTGTGTCTTGGCTCTGCTTGGGCGAAGGGCTCGTCATCTCTTCGTAGTAGTCGCCGTACATCTTTGCGTTCTCGTTCTCGTTCTCGTTCAAGGCGTCGTCGTTCTGGACGGATGGTCGTGGTGCGTTGGGAAGCGAGTCTCTATAAGAGGTCCTTTGTGACTGCTGATCCTGCTTTTCTGTGATGGTGGAGGTAACACGGTCCTCTCTGGTGGAATGCACCGACTCCCTGACGGGCATAGTCTGGCCGGCCAGAGACATGGTAGGCGGTGACGAAGTTCGCGATATCCCTCGAGGAAATCTGAGACTGGGCGGTTTCAGTCGTCTCGCAGGGCAGCTGGTCTACAGCGAATAGTGGCAGCTGACTAGCAGGTACGGCGGTGTAAGTGTCGAGACCGATTGTGGGCTTGTTGGAAGTGAGAAGTTATTCTGAGGGAGGAGTAAGGCAAAGGTACTCTTTGGTGAGGTAGGAGGGAGAGTAAGAAGCACCTCCAGGTGTGCGGTAGGAGGGCGAAGGAGGATATTTCTATGACCGGGTCTATCAGGCACTTGGACGGGTTGGGGACGGGATGGGATATGTTCTGTTCGGGTGGAGGCACATAAAGGGACGGGGACGGGGGGTATGGATGGGGGCTCGGGGGCTCCAAATAGCCAGCCGGGGGGGGTGTGGGATTCGACAGGTCAAGAGGACGCCACACTCCGTGGAGAGGAAGGCAGACGAAGAGAGAGAGACAGAGAGAGTGTGTGCGTGGAAAGCAAGGGCCATGTCTGCACAGATGGCACTGCAAGCCGCCAGATGGACAAGAGACAGGCCGGATAGACACCAAGATGCTCCTGCACTTTGCACTTGCACCCAGCCCATGTCCCATGTCCTGATCCTGGCCTCTCCCCCTAGTCCCGATCCCGGTCAGGTCCTCATCTTGAACGGGGTCCACTTGGGTACGGGGACCCAGTGTCGACTCTGTCCGCTGGCACAGTACAAAGTACCGGGGGGTGCTGGTGGCAGCAGCGCCAGCGAGAGAAAGCGAGGCAGGGGCTGGGGGTTCAAGTCCCCGCTAGTCCCTGTCGCTCCTCCGGCCCACTCTGCAAGATGAGGAACGTACCTTACTCTCCACCAAAGACTCGACACCTTACCACCTTGCGTCTTAGCTAAGGCAATTCCCTCTTCACACTCCCACGACTCCTGCCACTCTCTCGACCTCATCTGCGATGTGGCTTAATCCATGGCTGCGAGCCTGTCTCGACCTGCTGATAGGGTGTCCGCACCAAACCTTACAATGTACATCGAGCGCACAATGACGGCCACGCTCTCTCCCACCACACGACGATGGTGGCATGGGGTGACGGAGGACGTCCTCCCACGCCCATAGGTACTCGACTACTTCGTAGCACTTGGTACCCCCCTACACCACTCATCCTCACGCCAAACACCACACACCACCACACTTGCATCACAGAAACCACCCACACCTGGCACATCTCCTACGCCGTGCCCCTTCATCATTGACTGCACAATCTACGGCTCCACACTCTAATTCGCCCTTCAGGTCAGGACCGCGCTGTCCAGACTTGGCCATCTCTACTTCACAACCAAGCGCTTTGCACTTGCAGTATCTGTACCATGCTATCCCAACCACGCGCTGTTGCGAGGATTGCCTCTAGAGTGTGTCGTTTCAAGTAAAAGGTGCTACAGACGACCGACATTCATCTGCGATGCCGCACCGCATATTACCACTCGTCGAGACGGGCGTCACGGCTTGCCATCACATCTTCTCCATTAGGCTATCACCTCCATGAGGCATGGCGTTTTTAGCTCTCTCGCACAGCGGCGAGTCTACCGATGCGAGGGGTCACCGAGACTGGCGAGAGACGAAACCGATCAAGCCGCCATATCCACGGCCACGGTTATGGCCCTTGCGATAGTCTCGTCGCTGTGGATTGGAGGGAGGAACGAGTGTGTGGAAACTTTGTCCAGTCTATTCGTCGGCATTTCAGCCCATGCTGTCATCTGCTCAACTACCAGGCTGATGCCGCTCACCTTCCATGACTTCTGGTGGCCGGCATCTTACTGTGCCCTCCACAACTGCCACAACTATGGTAGACATCATCACCATGACTTCTAACAGCCGCGGCGACGCATGTTGCCTACCCAGCATTCCGAATGATGTACTCTTCGTCATCCATCATGAGCCTCGTTCGTTTTCCCTGCTTCTCGACGTTTCCCAGCGTCAAACACCCCACACCTCTTGTAGCTCTCGCAGTTGACTGGGGGGGGGTGGTTGGTCACACCCACGACGACAGCAGCAAACTCCACACCACCAAACGAGGCGAGGCGGTGGCAGGGGTCGACTTTGCTGTCCAAAGGGACGACATCTTTCTTGGGGTGACTCGCACGGCCAAGGAAACGCGCTCCTCAGCCCTCAAGGGCAACGACAAGAACGCAAGCGTCTGGGTCTGCGTCTACGTCCGCCTCGACCGTCTTCGTGATTGGAGGCATCTTCCTTCTTGGTAGGGCCCTCCAGATGGCTGATTGGGCCCGACGCCCCTTCGCCGTCTCAAGGCCCGCCGGCAACCGCCCTCTGTCGGACCACCAGAAACGGCCGTCGGAGCCAAATGCTGCTCATCCAGTCCCGTCTGCGTTAGGGGCCCTCATCCCGCCCGCATGAAAACGTCCTCCCAGGTTTTTCCATCCGACTCGACGGATGCTCTCGCTCCCGCCGCTGGAACTGAAAGGGAGCAAGTCAATTCGATCCCAAGAGAAGGGAGAAACAATTCCAATGTTTCAGGCTCACGACGGAACATGTCTTGGCTCGTCGCTCTCCGGCTCCAGGCTGTGGAGGTACGGCATGGTACGAAGAACGGGCCATCATCGGTGTGCAGGCCTGGACGAGGCAGCCCCTCCGCCCTTGGCAAACCATTGCATGTACGCGAGCGTGCCAGAAAAAAAAAAGGAAGCATCACGAACCCGTGGTCCAAACGGTACAACACCCTTGGGCCTGGCTGCCCATTCTCCAGGGCCATGGTCTGCGGACAGACCGAGCTTTCTGGGGGACAAGCCATTTATTTTAAATGAGGCCGACGACGACAACGGCATACTTTATCGGACGCAATCAAGGTGCAATCTGTCTGTTAACATGAAGGGGCCAGGTGGAGGGCCACAAGTGCGATTTCGCAATGGCCCGGCCGATCTCTTCCGGGAATGGCGCACGGAAGCCAAGATCAACTGACAGCGACAAGATTATTGTTCGTTCGGCGCGCAGCTATCAATAGACGCTTAACCGCCCCCGCGCCATCATGTGGCCGTGGAACAATATCAAGATGCTTCAACGGTGTGGACCTCTGATGGCACGCAGCATGTGGGTGTCTCGCGCTCCGAAAGTCGTTCGCCGTGGACATTTGCAAGTGACGGGTTCTCTGGCCCACGATCTGGCCTGGTACCTGCTGCACCGTGCCGCGCGAAGCCGACGCAATTGCTAGAAAAGGGAAGACTCGAGAGCCAAAAAACGGTTTGTCTCGCAGGAGGCGAAGAGGCTGCCGACATCTCACTGGACAGATGCGAGGCACAGAGCGTTGCATCGTCAAAGTGACACCACGTTGGGTCGGCAGATTCCCTACGTGGTGCACGAATCACATCGTGAACACGGTTCCAGTTCTTTTTCTCCGCCGTATCCCTAGGACGCCAGATGCGGAATAATTTTTATTTCTTTGCCTCGCAAGTCCCAGACCGACATTTTGTCTCGTCCACGTTTGGCCATCGTAACTCAGTTTCGCCCCAACCGTTCTCGCCTCTCTTTCGCTGCCGCTGACGGGAATGCCAATGATGGGATTGTGTGCGCCAGCAGGTTAAGAGTGCAGCGCCATGCGACGAATATTTCCTCAAAAGGTGCAAGGCTCGCCCTTGCAGCGAGCGCACGCGAGAGAAGAGATGTTTCTTCGCGCCCTGCAGCCGCCTTGCCCGTCTGAGAAACGATCTCAAACCTGAGGCGCACCAGTGAGTTCGAGAGCAAGGGCTGACGCCTACCTATTCTTCTGTGTTTCGTCGCCAACTTGCCGAATTCCAGCAACGAGGGGTTGCTCTTTGGGCCAGTCACGGTCCCGGGAACGGGCAACCCCCTGCCGTTCGTCTGATGTGCTGCGACAGACAATGTCGAGACTGGAAGACAGTCATTCGCCCACCAGGCTGGGTCTGTGAGCTTCACGGCCTGTCACTGGACGAGAACTGTCAGTTAAAGCTTGGGAGTGCGGCAGCGCACAAACCCAAGCCATCGGGGACGAGACAAGCTTATCAGCGTTTTTTGCAAGGGCCCTGACCCAAACGCTCCTGACGGCTCAAGTGCTTCATTATGCCATAGCAAAGCCCTGCAACCGCATGGCGATTCGTTTCGGGACGACTGCAAGCGCAGAGTGTCTCCAGCGACTGGCGATGCTCAACGTTTTCCGGACGACGATCGGGCTCGTGCTCCCGTACCCGCATCCATGGAGATACAAGGCCGTACCGCGTCCGTCTTTGGCCGGAAGCAACGCACACAGTGTACGGAGATGTGTCGACAAGACGGTAGCAATAGGGACCAGATATCGCCATGCGCGTGATACCGCTATTCGCATGCGACGTGATACGGAAGTGCAAGGCCCATGACTGGTGAGATGTTTGGCGGCGACGGGCCATCAGCAATCAAGATTCGGAATGAGAAGAGGGTCCCTTTCTCCATAACATTTACGGCGCCGCCCATTTTCGCCCATTCATCGGCCCATGTGCTGTCGGCTGTTAGCCCAAGACCAGACTGATGCCGGCAGACGGTAATTTGACAAGGGCATCCTCGGTGGGGGCCTCGAAAGATGCGATGAATTCCAACACGATGAATGCATATTCAATGCCGTTTCCCTTCCTCTGCCCGCAACTTTCCATTACTTATCACGCCCGACCTATCTGCCTGGCGCAGCAACGGACCACCTCCGAGCCTGAACTCACCTTGGTTTTACGGACTAGCTAGCTCGCTTGCTCAGTCCCTTGACTTTTTGTCCCTTGCTGCCGAACATTCTCTGTCTTCCATTCCTTCCAACACCCTTACACGGTAATGGGTCTGCCGGGCTTTCAGACCGACTGTCTCTCGCGTACGAATACCCACGACGAAATACCCGCCGAACAGGCTCGCCAGGTTGCATCCTCAGTCTCCTAGTCCCTCACAATGAGACTAGTCCACCTCTCCAAGACTCCCAGTTCTAGCGCACCCACTAGAAGTGGCTCTTCTGGTGGACATTTCACAGCCGAGTCAACCAGGCCTTCTGAGTTATTGGCCTCCCATCCCCACAGCCGCATTTCAACTGGAGATCACGGATCACCGCCTGGCGCCTGGACAAACTCAACGCTTTTTAACGGGCCACTCAGCGGTCAGCATCGTGACAGCCTCAGGATGAATTCCAGCCACAAAACGACAAGAACGGCAACCTCTATGCGAGATGACGCTAGCCCACATATGGCATGGTATTCTAGCCGGCCCAACTTTCTAAAATTGTATCACGGCCGTCTTCCCATTTTCCCCCTTCCCTGCCGTTGGGATGGAATGGCGAGAGAAAGATGGAGGAAGATTGACCGTGTCGAGAGTCAGTCGCCTCCGGCCTCCAGAGAAAGGTGCCGGTAATTGAAAATATGGCTTCCGGGGGTTGTCTAAGACATTCCAGCGGTACGTTCTCGACAAAGGTTTTCTTCTCCATCATCCGTAATGGCGGCGATAATGCAATGACGCACGGAATGGTGGTCGTTGATTTGCGGCCGAACCAGTCCTCTGCTCTTTGTGCAGTGTTTACCCAATGATCAGCGGATCGGCCTTCACCAGCCGACGCACGCCATGTACCTCCTCCATGTAATTACTCTTCTTGATAGGCCGTGATCAGAAACATATGGCCATGAGGGTCGATCGCCGCGCCGGGCTTTGTATGATCATCGCGGGATCCGGAGATTGATACACGTCCCGCAACGCATAGCCCCTGCCAGAAACTAAGACCTTCTCGGGACGCGGCAACCCCATCCCATGCTGCCGCTCTCCGTTGATAACAGATGCAATATCCTCCAGCCAGCCTTACGTGGCTCGCCGTCTCATCTCTCTTGCCGCTGACCGAGCCGTCTGGAGTAATCGGATGGGGCTAAGCGAGCGCTGCGGGCTTGTATCACAACTTGCACACTCGCTACTTGAGATGCCACGGGTTTCTGTTTCAACGCCAAAGCATGGCAAGGCATTCCTGACTACAGCTGGAATAGCACGGCATGTCTACAAGCCGTACGCCACAATCACCAACGGCCTGGAAAGGGCACATGCGAGCGACGTCTAAAGCAGGCTACCGGACTGCTCCGCGATCAGCTTGGTACGAATCTCCCGCCGGTGTGGGGCCGGGCCCGAACCGAGTCGACCAACTTGAAATGGTTGCTGTCCGATGTCTGCGGCTGGAAAGGCGCAGCAGAGCTGATGTTGCACCTAACGCGCAGAGAAACAAAACAAAATCTCACTCGCTTGCGCGTTGCTCACATGCCAACTTCGTCTCTTCTTTCGGATGCTGACTTTGGATGGGCCGAATTTGCCGGGGGGGGCTGACAAAGCCGAAGATGGGATGTCAGCAGTCCGATGTTGTGGCCATGCACGCCGTCTATACTATGTCATTTTGAGGAGTAGGAATCGACTACAATCCTTTCGGGAGCTTGTGAATTATTCGTCGCTCAAGTCTGCAAGGTTTTGCCGACTTTGGCGCACTTTGGCAAATTATTCAGGGCCATTAGAACCCGACGTGGTCAGGTGGACGAAATGTCTAATTTATCTGCCTAGGTGCCCAGCAGCAGCACAGTCAGCCCAATTTCCTAGGAAGGATTTGGACCAAACTTCAGTACTCCTATCTCGTCGACACCAATCTGGAAATGACGGCAGGGCCTACGCTCTCTGAGAAGTCTGGCAGACGTACCTCGCCGCCATGAACCCTTGGGACCATCCGAATACGTGGGCGGCAACGTTTGAGAGCGACGCATCGCCCATCCACCGCACTGCGTCAGAAGAAGAGGTCGGCGATCTAGTAGCTTACGGAGAAGCCGTGAGGGCTTCGATCAGTGGGCAATAGGCAATGCTCTCAAGGTGTGCTATTTCCTTTTATCAACGATCAGGCGGTCATCCGCAGCTCTCATGTGGCTTACACTCTATGGGCTTGTTCGGGTAGCCGATTGACGAGCTTATGGTGCTGACGCTCATGCAGTGCTGACATGCGACTGCTCAGCTTCCATTCTTTCAGGTCCTGCGTATAGCCTTGCGGCGTTTCCAGCACTGTCTGCCCAAGTATCTCAATGTTGGTCACACTCGGGCCAGCACCACAGCGTTGCGAAATTCTCCATCTCGGTTTGAAACGGATCGAAACATGTTCAACCGTAACAAATCCAACAGTATGGGTTGCATTCGTCGCGGAGACCCGAATGGCACCGTTGGTCCACGACTCAGACATGTATCATGCACTTTTCGGCGATGGCACGATGGAAGGTTCCAAGGGGGTTCCGTTTCGATGAGTCTGAAACGGCCGCTGTCAAATTAATATCTATAGGTAGTGGATGAAGATTGGAGGCAAGCAATAGGAATTCTCTCCGACCCCTTCTCCGCATCACCGTGATTCCGCCTCTCCGCCTCCGCATCTCCCCCTTTCCCCCCGCCCGACGCTGTGGGTCCCGGTGGTGCACCGTGCTCGGGACGCCGTCACGCCGTGTTGCAGTCCCGACCCCACCTGAGTCGGGGGAGGAAAAGCATAAACAGCGACATGACATCATCCCTGCAACGCCCCCACCTGCTGCCTCCAAACAGCCCAACCACCAAGCTTTTCCGACGTCACTGGACATCTTTGATGGATTGAACGTTTTCTTCAAACCGGCTCCTCTGGACTGCAGGCGAAAACAAGCTTAAGCTAGGTAGCGATTCAGTCAGGCTTTTGTGCAAACATTGGGCCAGCCCATTCTTAAGTCCCAACCGCACAGTGTGTTGCCTTGATGTAATTCGCCTCCGTGAACAAACACACGAGAGACAAGACAGAGACATTACGTTTCGCCAGCCTCCCAACACGCGGCAACGGCCCCACTGACTTTTCTCGCTTCCAACCTCCTCCTGCTTATTTTTCGGAACCTTGTATACTCACAATTCTGGATTGCTTCTGCTGCTTCGACCAGTCTCGTTCGCTCCTGATCCACGGCATATCCTCATCAAAGTCTAGGGACTTTGTAGACCTACCCGATTCCCGATGCCACATGTACATGTGTGCCACAGTGGAACCGTGGCACGGCGCAGCGCGGAACTGCAGAATGGCATATTGTCGACTTGGACAGGGCGGCATGGGACTATTTGGTGTAGTGCAACTCTTTTTTTTTTTTTTCCTGCGATCGACGATTGGTTGCTGAAACCCTGGCCATCATGCTCTGGATTTGTACCGACTGCTGTGCAGTTTGGCAGAAACGTGTGTTTGGGTTGGGCTGCGTGGAGACACTGCACCGTGACGTCGCTTATCGCTGACTCCCCTCCACTACGATTCATACCCTCTTCTTCGACTTCATGGAATCGACATGCAGGTATGCCCGCGTTTCTGGGAACCAGGGTCTGGAACCTTCTTCCCACGCAAGACTGACGCTGGGCTTGTGTGGCAATGGATGTTTTGACGACTGGAACGTCTCCATCCCTGGTGGGGGGTTTTGTGCGAAGGACAGGCCTCAGAGCGTCATATGCCTTTGCCAACTCCGCATAGCCAGGGTTCGCGGGCTACCTTTTCGTTCGGGCTTCTCGAGCCGGAGCTGCAGGGTCTTGCAAGTCACACTGCATCTTTTGCTAGAGCTGGTAATTCTGAGGTTCTGCCGCAAGGCCAGGCGTTGGCGTTCCTGCTACTCACCACGCGTTCCTGTTTCCAACCCACCCTTACCAGATGGGGTTGATCTACAAGACCCTGGCACATGATCATGAAGCCGGTAAGCAGGCACGCCCGCTCGCGTGTTGCGTACAAGTCGGACGACATCAAGTTACCCCCTCCCAAGTCTGCAGGTAGGCCACCACCATCGCGGAGAGCAACGTGAGATGCCGCAAGGGTTTTCGTAGGACAATGAGGTCACACAGTACAATACACAATCTCGGGATGTACCTCCCTCTGCGAGCTATCGTTTTGGAGGTGCTGGAACAAAAACAATGGAAAGTTGGACTGATATCATGGTTTCGCGTATCATGAATCATGGGGGCCGTGACGGAAAGGCCGGCTCGTCGAAAAGCATCCCTGACCGGCAAAGATTCATTTCTTGGCGTGAGGAAATGGCCCGGCCCCGGGCCCCGATTCGAGCTGTGCATACATTTTCATGTGGGTTTTGTACATCGCCATTGAGTGAGCTGGGTAAGTACGTAAGGTACTTGCAATTTGAAGTGCGTTCGGCTCGGTGTGGAGGGGAGCACTGCGGCCCGTTCCCGAAGTCTCATCACCATGGTGGCAGAAGAGGAAGAGAGAGAGAGAGAGACTTGGAAAAAGCAAAATGAGGAAGCAAAAGAAAGATTTCGGAAAATTCAGCGCCGGTTATCTCTATGTCAAACGCGCTAGTGTTGAGGCGAATTCGCCCTGCGGCTGAAAAGAATCTCGGTGTTGATATATTATTGTCTGTGTGTACCCATTAGAGAAAAAGCCTAAAAGTTTTTCAATGGTGAACCCATGAATGAGCAAGAGTGTTCGAGGTGGAAATTCAATGTTATGTTGCTTATTCGTGGCAATGACTAGTCAGACATCTTTTCGTACGGAACGGAGGAGAAGGGAAAGGAAACACTGGATGCGAAATTGTGCAGGTCAACGCCAAGATACTCTCCCAGCTCTTTTCGCGTGCTCACGAGACGCTGCTAAGCCCGACGGGGCTGCCACCTTGGGAGGAAATGGATAATAGTCGTCGAAGCTCTCAAGCTCGCAAGATTTTGGACACACGCCTTTCCCGGCCTCCACGGGGCCGTCTGGTTAGTGGCGCCTGGTCGATGCAGACTGGACAGACGTGTTCGAGGGGTGGCAGAGAGCGAAGTGTGCCCCATTTCTGTCTTTATTCTGTACACCCTGCTGCATCCATTTTCCCGAGGAGTCTTTGGTTAAGGTTTTTGAAGACGGACAGCGGACGGATGCGGATGCGCCCTTTCGTAGTTTCTGTGATGCTGGTGTGGTGGTGTTCTCAGTATCAAGGTTCCAAGAACTCGCGTCCAACAGGTTCGTAGTTACTTACGAGGCATTCGCCATGACGAAGGTCACAACACTCCATGTTTGGGAAAAACATACGTCTCAAGTCCTCCTAAGCCATGTTCGAAACAGCGTTCAATCCACCTCGACATTGTAGCACGGCTAGATATCATATACCCCTCGTGTGTATTGGCCGTACTACAAAGAGATTTATAAAAGAATTGAATTGGTTTCCAGACGGAATCAAGCTGCACTACTATTTTCAGCATGGCTTAGGGTCTTTCAAGGCCGCATGTATTCGTATGTAAAAACTCATCATACCCTGCCTCCAGGAATGGAATCTAAGATCGCTCGAGATTGAAAGAGGGTTGGATTAAACGATTCATCCTGGACCAGTCGTGGGAGCGCAAAGACCACCTTCGATACAAAATAGTGACCCGTCCGACCATGGTGCTCCCCAAGCTGTCGAGATTCTTTATGATTTTTGGTCCAGCTATTGAGGTCCTTTGAGGGCTTTGGGTCTCATCTCGAACATCTCCGCCAAACAGTCCCGCCCTTGCCATCCATTTCCTTTCTTAACGTATACCTCGATCAAGACGTTGCCAATGACTAGAAAGTGAACAAGTGAGGGTCGCTTACAGCTGCGCTATAGCTCAACCTTTTTGCGACGAAATGCGAAAGGAGATGCGCAATGCCCTGGCTGTGGTTGTGAAGACGACGACCATCCCACTCAACAAGTCACCAGTGTATAGAATATCAAAGACCGACTGAGTAAGAACACAGTAGTTGATGAATCCATGTAGGCTATCATCGCCCGACATGTGGCGCTGCCCGATGTACCCGTCCTCAAAGGTGTATGGAAGGCACATCCGCAGGTCACAGCTGTCGTCCAATTCTTGGAGATCGCCGGGTGTTCAATCGCAGTCGTCGACTTCTCCGGACCGGGGTTTGGGATAACAACTAGGCGAAGTAAAGGGAAGACTCAGTTAACGCCGACTTCGATTACGATACTTTGCGACGATTTCTGAGGATAGAGTCATAACGGGGGTTTCGTGTCAGTAAGACGGGCTTTTTCTTCGTTGTGGACGTGGAGTCCAGAGAACAGTGACGGCGGGAAATCTGTATAGTCTTGCAAGGCTCACAATACCGGTTCGAAAACAATATATCACATGTCTGGTATCAAACATTCGAATTGGGAGTTTGCCAACCCTTTTATACCCTATGCCCGAACACCAAGAGACGGTTCCACTGAGCAGCTCTTCATAAGTCAAAGAAGTATGACGTGCCTCGAAAACTTGCTAGGAGTATTTATATGATCCTATCATAAATCTCGTAATTATCAAACGTCCCGATCATTTCAGCTATCGACCAACGATGAGGAAGTGTACAGGTACCGCCATTAGGTGTTGTCAAATGGAAGTTAGTAACGGCTGCGACGACGTGGGTTGAAAGACGCGCGTCCGGCCGCCATCAACATCCAAGTTGAAAGAAGGACCTGCAGCGACTTGCTCGAGTACAGCTAAGAGCGTCGTAGTCGTTGGCAATGCCGACTCGTGGCTTGGGGTGACGAGGACTCACGAAGTCCGGCAAGGTGTAGCTGAGATCTCGGTAAACACAACCCACACCGCCTCGAACATGAGGGCTTCGGGGACTCTCTCGTATTCGTGGGGAGTACACCGACAATGACACCGGGCAAACAAAGAAAAGGCGCGGGCGACCCTGCTTCTGTTCGATTGGGTCCATCATTGATACAGCCGAGAAATAACATACCAAGTCAAAGTTATAAATAAATATGAACCGGATCAGGAATGGATACTCTCTTCTTTGAGTCTGATAGGTGGATAGTTTACCTAACACTGGAATATGTTAGGAAGAGGGAGAGCTCTACTGTGACGCTCCAAGAGGTATCCTCGATTCGAGGCTCTTATGATTCTGACATGCCAGTGCTTGCAAGGTCAGAAACAGAGCGCAGGGTATTTCGGCAGAGATACCCGGCGGACAACTCGGCCTGGGAATGGGAAGAGGACCACCAAAAAAGTATTAGTCAAGCTTCATTCACAAGAGCATTCAGTCTGCAAAATATCCCGGCTGAGAGGCTGATACTACCTCCATGAGATCTAGAGGCAACAGAACATCACGAAAGCATGGGCGTGGTATTCCTGTTTGAGGTAAGGGACGGCGGACAATGGTCACTTATAGATAAACACGCCTATGCGTGCCGCTCAAAGCGGCTGGTCTTCATCATGACATCCTGGGAGTAGAACATTAAATCGTCACTGTGAGTCAAGGTAAAGCAAGGTCTGGGGAACACGTCATCCTTACGGACACTGGGCAAACTAGGTATAGAGCTTATCTGCTTGTGTATCATACGCACGCCTGAACTCTCTTCACTCGCGTCCCCCACAGGAATCTCCTAATGCTTGGTTTGTGTGGCCCAAGTAGCGGAAGGCAGGGAATCGAGACGTCGGTTGTAGCTCCAGAAAGACAATAAGTCGTCGACGGCCCGTAGTTGCCCTCGATGCCCCCAGTACTTCATCAACAGTCTCACGCAACATGGACCAACATCATAAAGCCTCAGTCAAACCCAGTTCTACTGAAAAAGAAAGATTGTTTTGAAACCCACCCCTCTACTCCGTAAGCAAACCATCGGGGTATTATCTCGTTACAAACAAATGTAACGCAAAGCATCCGAACTGTCCCGAGTTTCCATCCCGCGAGAACGCGGAAACACAAGAAAAAGAAGAAGAAGAGAACAAATTCTTTTGGAGCCTGGGAGGGCCATCTCTGTCAGCCTCTCCATCAATCCCAAACCCCAATTCCTGTCCAACCCTTCCATCATTAACACGTCTCTCTGTACTTTTCATTGTGGGGTCTACCTCGCTTCGCGCCCCCTGTCCCTCTTCGAGCGAGCAGATCGGCCAACCCATATGTCGTCCTTCTCCCTGCAATTCTGTCCAGCAACCGCCACCTTCAATCACCGCCAGAGATCCGTCGACTTCTTCTCGTTATTCGCCGTGCTGGGTCTCGGCCACAAGTCCTCATCACTCCCCCTGCTACCACCGGTATTCTGGCTCGGGATGGCCATGAACATGCCCGCGCCGTTGCCCACCATGACACTCTTCCTCGCCGCCGCCGTGTTCCAGCCTGATCCTGCAATATCCGCGCCCAGTCCGTAGGAGCTGATGGGCCGGTCGCCATGGATGCTCATGCTTCCTCGGTGAGCTCCGCCGCCCAATGCCGCCGTAGGCTGAAGCATCACCGAAGACCAATCCAGGGCATCATCCGCTTTGGTATAGATTGTGAGAGGGTGGGAGAGCGGACCGGTACCAGCAAAGGGATTCGTGGAGCTGAAGCGCTGCGAAGCGCGAACGTTGGAAGCCCCAGCAAAAGGTCGAGGGATAGCCATGCCGGTGCTGCCAGGTGGCGCGAGACCGCCGCGTCCACCGCTGCCGGGGCCAAGACCCGACATTGGCCGGTTGGCTCCGACCGTGTGTGAGGATTTCGGACGAGCGTTGGCGCCGTAGGAGGAGAATGCCGCGGCGGGGCGGGGTAGACCCTCGAGCTCGTCTTGGAAGAACTCGTCAAGCACGTAGACTGATCGCAAGTTGGGCATCCCGTTGCCTCTGAGCGACGCGGCCAAATAAGTGTAGTAACTAGCTGTGACGCTGGAGTACGGGCCCGCAGACTTGGAAGCGGTGATTTCGAAACGCAGCGACTCCAGAGATGTTGAGGCAAGCCTACGCGTCCGGGGTCCACTCCTGAAAGCGTCGCTTACCGAGGCCTCGATGGCCAGCGTCTGCAGATTGGTGCCGGCGGATAAGATGTCGGCGAGTGTCGCCGGGTGAACGCCGGTCTTGAGGAGAGACAGGACGAGAAGGTGGTTGCGGGTATCGGCTCTGCCTAGGTAATCGACCAAACCTTGAGCAGTGACGGCCGGAGTGTTGCTGAGAACCAGCTCCTCCAAGGGTGGGAAGGGAGGCAATTCTTCACTGCGGGCAAAGATATCGTCCGAGAAGGCTTGCGACTCCATTACCTTTAGCGCGCGAAGCTTCCGGAGGTTGGCCAGGGCATGCCGCAGCACGATCGGATCCATATTGATACTGATCAGCTCCAAAACTTCGAGATTCTCCCAGATGCCGCCGTGCGCAAGCTTGGACAAGCTGCTTTCAGCGCCTCCGCGGTACGTCATCTTGCGGAGGTCTCGGCATCTAGCCTCAACCTCGAGCCTCAATGTGGCGTAGCTGTGCTCGTCGGCGAAGAGACCTTCGGGCAAGTCCACGTAGACAATATTGGGAAGAACGTGGATTATACGGGCCAGATCGGCCGTGGCGGCTTCGCGAAGCATATAGGGAACCTTGAAGTATCGGACTCTTGAGCCAAAGCGTGTAGGGTCCTCGCGAAGGGTTCTGCAGAGTAACTTCAGACGGGCAGTGGGGGTATCTTCGGGGTCAGCGTTGCGCTTGAAAAAGGTCTTGCGCTTGCGCTGCTCCGACAAATAGATCTCGCGGGGGCAGTAGTGAACGGCGTCGATTCGGATGCTGTGGTACCTAGAACACGATGACGGTCAGCCTATTTCGGCTACGAGGGTGGGAGGAGGGAACATACAGCAGGGCGTTGGCCATCTGATTCCATTTCCAGCAGACACGCGCGCAGTGGGCCAGGTCTCTCAGGTCGCATAGCATGCAAGCGTCGAAGATGGCGCTCGTTTCGCACGTCTCGTACGTCTCATCTTGGGTGTGGGGGCATACGAAGGAAAATATCCGCGGGAGGATTTCCTTTGGAAGGCTCTGGAAGAGGGCGGCAGATGCTCGCGTGGGGATATGAGCGCCGGGAGGTGAGGCGACGTTGCGGAAGTTTTGCTGGACCTGGGATGAGTACTTTGACAGTTGCTGGTCGGTGAAGTCATGGGACTTTTGCTGTTGATGCCCCTTCTGCTGCTGCTGCTGCTTCTTCTTGTCCTTGTCCCTGCGAAAGAAGCCCATCTTCTGTAGAGGCCGAACGGCGAGCTTCATGCCAGATGGGCGGAAAAGAGGAGAGGGCGGAGGAAAGGGAAAAGGGCTTGTCCTGGGTGGTATCAGGGGAGTGATATATTCAAGTCGACGGGTCACGGCGTGGCATTGGCCGGTTGGAAGCGGCGTCTGGGTGGGTTGGGGGCGGGAGCATGAGGCTTCTGCAGGTCCACGGGTACGGCGAACCAAAGTTTGACGGTGCGAAGATTAGAATGGGTGTTTGTCGGTTGGAGGTGGCCGACGGCTTTGTCGCGCTGTCTTGTTCGCCCTCGCGCCCCACGAGGGGTCCGGCTTGGTTATCTTAATAGAGTAGGCAGGAGCAATTGGCAGGGTGGGAAAAGGCGGTCCTTTCTGCTTTTGGAGAACTTGCCAACGGTAATGTCTAGGATGGCCCGCCGAGTCAAAGTCCCCCAAAGGTCATCCAATGCATTGCATCCCTTCTCTCTTTAAACTTCAGCTGAAATCTCCGCAAACGTGACAGGTTGATAACGCCTGAACTCTCTGAACCCGGGGGTTGTTTTTATCCTTAGCCCCACTGAACACTGAGTATGAGAAATGAGAGCGAGAAACACATCCAACGACGTCCAACAAAGAGGCTTTCCGCAACAAAGAAGGAGATGCGCCCGCGGGAAGCGGCGGCCAGGGGATGTACTTAGTGGCTCCTTGATGCGTACTACGGCACCACCAGCACCCGACGCGAGTAACATGCCCTCCCCCTCCCCCCCGTTCAGCGTGCTCTCCCCACCCACAGGCGCCCTCTACGCGCTAGGGACCCCTGAAATGACAAACCGCAGGTGTGGGGGAGGAGGACGACGCCGTCTCTGATTCGCTGCTGCTGTCGTCAGCTCAGGGGTCTGCAATCCCCCTGACCTCTGAAGCAAACACCGAGCACGCATCGATTCACTGATCATCATTGCAACCCTTGGTGCCCAGCCAATCCTCTGTTCTCGAAACGAAACAACTTGGCCTTGGGCCTTTTACACCTAATCTGCGGATACTTGCTGCATTGCGCCTCCTGCCAGCCGCTGCTGCCACCCAATTCTCATCTTTCATATCCAATCAATTCTGATGCACCAACCAAGAAAATGCCTGATAGACAACAGAGAATGTCCGAGAACCAATCTAATGCTCAAAATATGCTACTCTGCTCGTACAAATCCATACTCAGCCCCCTATGCGGTCCAATCCTCTCAGTCGTGTCCTTGTTGCCTTGCCCCTGCCCCTGCCCCTGCCTCAACATTTCCATTACATCCGTCCATATCCCTATATAAAATCGTGAATCGCAAGACGACCAAACACAAACTGCTGGTCCATCAGGAACAACCAGTAAGCATTCGACAGCGTTTTGTACATATCCCACCGACTTCTGTTGCTCGTCCGTCAGGCCTGCTTGACAGCAAGTGTGCCAAGTGTGTGTCGTGGGTTCTTGGCAAGACGCGAATACTTTAGTTGCCATTGCCGTTGAGCTGCACTCCGTCGAGAGGGCTGGCCGGTCCCGACGGCCGCTTGGCGCGCAGAGTAAGCGGGAATGGATATTCATCGGGGTCCTCCTCCTCACTGCGAAAGGGGGTTAGCATGCATGGTAGGGCCATCTTTCAAGCATTGCCAACTTACGGCAACTTCCAAGCGACGTAGTCCTCGGTATTCAATCCCTCTCTGCCTTCTTGCAGGCTGGCAAAATCGCCAGGCGTCATCATGCCAGTGCGGTCGCGCGGAGATCCAGGGACCGAGAAGGGCCGGGAGATCTTCTGCTCCACGCCAGGGATAAAGTCTTCCTCTTCTTCTCCGTTGAACGAGCCAGGGTAGGCACGTCTCAGCGCCAATTGGCGGGCCTTGACGTACTCCATGCCCATTCTCTTCCAGTCGAGCAGATCGCTCAGGCGTTCCGTACGGTTACGCTGGTTGATGCGCTGGCGGCGGCTCTTTTGGCAAAAATCAAACATGTGCGTCGTGAGCTGGTTGACCGAGTCGTCAACACCCTTGGTCCGGCGATCCACAATGTAGATGCCGTAGTCGCTCGAGTTCTCAATCAACTCCTCCATGTAACACCCAAAGCCGGACAGGTTGGTCGTGATGCTAGGAACACCCATGACTGTGCATTCGGCGGGGGTGTATCCCCAAGGCTCGTAGTACGACGCGAAGATGCCCATGTGTGTACCGCGCACGAACTCGTCGTAGTCCAGAGGCAGAACAGGGTTGGCCGAGTTCAGGAATTCTGGGTGGAAGACAATCTTGACACGGTCTGTAGGGTGGTTGAAGAGCTGGACACGTCTAATCTGGTTCAGTACGGGGTCCTCGCTGTCATTGAGCATGTTGTGGGTCACGATTGGTGGGAGGCCGTGGCGCTTCATCGCGAACAGCCGCCTGCGGATGAGTACGCGGTCCTGCGCGCTGATGAGCTCCTTGTCATCAGGCATCGGGTCACCGTCGTGCCACTTGAGCGAGCGCTCAAAGATGCGACGCCCGATACCCTTTTCGATGACATCGACAGTGTCTCGCAACGACTTGATGACGGCCTGTCCCTTGAGTGCCTCGACAGTGAGTGAAGTAGTCTGGGCTGGCATGATGACAAAGGCAACAACCGTAATCTTGCTGCCGACGCTCTTGAGGCGGTGGTTCAGGCGGGCCAGGGACTCGATGAACATATCGACACCCTTATTTCTGAACTCGTAACGGCCGGCGGTGAAGAAGTACAAGGTATTCTCGGGGTCGAAGTCGTAGTGGCCGTAGAAATGGCCGCGAACAAAGTCGTGAATCTTTTCCTTGGCCTGCTGGTGCAGATTCTGGAACTCGTGCATGGCGGAAAACTTGGTGACGTTGAGGCCGTTGGGCAGCACACCATCCGGTTTCCGCTTGAGCAAGTGCTCGCTCTCGTAGGCGGTAATGTGTGAGACAGTAGTGAAGACATCGCAGGAGTGGGCGGCGGCGCGCTCGATGCAGTATCTGTGGTAGATGCCGCGCTTTCCGGCCTCGGCGTCAACATCAAACCATTGGAGGTTGTTGTAAAAGTCGACGGATCCGGCACAGAGGTATCTGCCCAGGAGGGTAGCGTGGGTAGTGAAGATTGTCGTCACGTCGATGCGGCGTCTCTTGGTGAGTGGCAGAGCAACACCGGCAAGCCACTCGTGGAAGTGCGCAATGACAGCCCTCTTCTTCTCGTGGCAAACAAACTACGGAGGGTAAGGTGATCAGCTTCATCCCCGAAGGAAGCCAGTGTCTCTTACCTCTCCCAAAAACCAGGCGACAACGTATCCAAAAATAACAGCTTCGTTTGTCTCGTCGTCGTTGGGCGGCGAGGGAATGCTGGCGACGTTCCACAGATCGGCTTTCCACTCATCCATGAAGTGGTAAGCTGTCTTGGTGTCAAAGAGCAGGACTCGGGGAGCGCCGTCGATGAGCCATCGGCCGTAGAGGATGCCAATTCCACGGTCTCTCATGGACTGAATTGTGGCAGCGAGCTCGGGATTCGTGGGCTCCAACTCCTCAACCTCGACTGCGGCCTGTTGTTTGGTAAGTAGACTGCCGAGACTGCGTCCCGCAGACCCAAACTTACCGAGTTGTGGTTCAAGGGCCCGATGAGCGTATAGCGATCCCCATATTCGGCTGTGGTCACGGGAGCTTTGGACTTGAGGACCGAGTAGATACCACCGACTGCATAGAATGGGTCAGCCCACTGCGGAGACGGTCATCCAGGGGGACAGCGTGGGGACAGTACCTCGATGGGCAACTTCAGTTGCGATTTCGAATAGCAGGTGATTCTTTACATCGCGAGCAGGACGGTCGTTGTTGTCCCGCTGACCTTGTGGGAATTCGGACATGGTGACTGAAGGGCAACCTGGAGGTGCTGCGCCGGGGACAAGTCAGTTGCTGGAAGAGACGAACAGCTCAAAGGGGCTACTGGGTGCGGGAACGAAGGTAGAAAAGGACTTTGGGAAGTTTGCATCGTGGCCCAAGCTTCAATGGGAGCTTGGATGACGCAAATATGGAGGAGGCACTCACCGGTAACCAAGGCGACGCAGTGGAAATGTGAAGACGTCGGAGCTTGAAGAAGCTCCCGAGATGGCTTGGGAGGTGGACAAGGCTTTGATTTCAAGACAATGGGAGGTGTGGAAGTTCGTGGGAAAGACGGACAGGAACGGCGACAGCAGATAAAGAAAAGTCAGGAGCTCTTGGGCGAAGAGAGAGAGAAGTAGTCTGCGGGGAAGAAAGGTTTTAGCTACGAAGGTCCTTGGGAAAGAAGCGAGCGAGCGCGCGGGCAAGGCCTGGTCTGATGTGTGGTGGTGTGGTTGTGTGGTTGGACAATGCAGCAGGTCCCCCCATCGCGTGGCCAGCCCAGCTTTTTCCTGTTCGCGCTAACAGCAGCTGGAGGCGATACCTTGATAATGCAGCGGTAGCCCGCCAACCCCGAGGTATCTTTTGTGGAAGCTACTTGGACTCTGACTATGCCCGATGGATACGAATTGGCTTGACACGCAGAGACTTTCCTGGCCAGAAGCAATACAGCAGCAAAAGCGGCAAGGCCAAAGACAGAGAGGGTAAAGACCGAAGTGGGTGGCCAGGTAAGGTACTCGCCTCCACGTCCTCTCCCTCTTGGACTGGTTCCATGGGGAGCCCGGAGTCTGGGACAGGTTTGTCAACTAGAAACTGGAGAGTGCGGGTGAGGAGGAGTGCGATGGGCGCTCAGCATGGAGGAAGCATTGAGAGTGTGGGACAACAATGGCGGATATTACAGGGCCCCTGGACCTGTCCGAAGCTACCACTAGTGGGAATCCACTCTGCAGTTTTGGGCGGGTTTGGTCCCGGAATACTTGGCCGGTACAAGTCCAGACTGTGATTTCTCTCAACAAATTCTTTTCCCATATTGCGCCGGGCGTGTTATTTTTTTCTTCTTTCATTTTGGTCTCTTCCAACTGCTATTTCCCCTCAAAACGCTGTTGTGCTCTCGGTCGCCTGACGCTTCCAAAACGTCCGACGGACTCGCCGTCTCTGACTGTCGCCTCGCCCCCCCGAACGCTACTCTTCCTGCATCCTGAGCAACCCGATATTCCACGCGTATCATCCCGCTACTGTTACGGGAAAAGCGTCTTGTTCCTGCTCCTCCCTGACTGCCTAAAGAAAAACATTGCAAAGGGAAAACCGGAGGAGTTTGTTGCATCCGCTTTGCCTCCTGTATCGGAATTGCCATCATAACCGTACATTGAAAAGCGCAACGTGGTGGGCAGAAAGGGTCTAGAGATGTACCTCGGGCGTACATGCATGGGGGTGGCTACGTCTGGAATGGCGGCCTGGGAGCGTCAGGCTTCACGCAATTTTGATAGGAGTGGGGACCTCTCGTGAGCTTTCTCCTGGTCTGCTTAGTCAGAATGACGACAAACTTTGCGGGGTTGACCATCCCCAGACTCTCCCCATCTGCACCTTTTGGCAGCTCTGGTCGCAGTGACGAAAGAAAAAGCGAAAAAAGGAACGCCAATCCCGGGCGACCAATCATTACAGACAATCCCATGAAGCTGCAGACACACGCAAAGATCCTGCTTCGGTGTTGATGCCGACGATGGGAAATCGTCAGCCCAGATTTGCCAAATCTAGCCAGAGAGTAGAGAAAAAAATTTCTTCCGCTGCACACAAGCCACGTCTCAATTCCCGGGGGGGAAAAAAACTTCGGCCTTGGAATATCTTGCCACATTTACGCTCATTTCTCCCATTGGCCTTCGAGACATCCGCATTCAAGAAACCGCGGGTAAATGACGGGCGACGCATCCTCACCTGGAGCCTAGGAGTGCATCCGGATACATCCGCCACGGCGATCCGTTACATCACTGAATTTGGTTGACCCTGCCAGGCTTCGGTGGTTGTCCAGGTGCCGGGCTTCTGCATTCCTGGCAACCGGTCAGCTCGACAGGTCACCCCAGACGCGAGAGCAAGAGGCAATGCCAGCGGGACAGTCGAGTGCTTGGGTTTGTATCGACGAAATAAGATACCTAATAAAGTATCCCACGGATGGTGGATCTCTGAGCCTCTCCACCTTCATTGCTGGAGATCTGGATCATCTGAATTTGCAGCGGCAGAGGCTCTGCTCATCTTCCCCGGACCCAGTCTCCTGCATTGGGACTTTCGGTCAGAATTCCCACACACTCCTCACTGCTTTCCAGCTGGATGCAGCATGCATCGCCAGATTCTAGTGCACGATCCAATACAACAGTCATCTAATGGTCGTTCGGAGATCTATCTCATCCACCTTAACTACACCGAGTACGTCAAAATCCTGGCATGGAGCTCTCAAAGTTAAAGGAAAAGTCGCGATATCTTCAGCTCCGTTAGCCTGGAGTCTTCCGACAGCGCTTTGAGAATGCAGGACATGGAAACGAAAACGTAACACTTTTTGTCATGTTCAAATTGGAAGGCATATCCCCTTGATTATTCTTGCGCCCCCCATGGTTGCCGGTATACTCTGTCTCACCGGTTCAGGACTCGAAGACCGTCCTGTATCTAGGGATGAAGTTGACGAGCGTTGGTACGACAACGGATCTCAATACCAAAGCTTCGACAACCTTCATCCTGACAAACCTGGGTTGAACCACGATCGCCCTACCTTCTGAGCTGAGCTAGCCGCCGAGACTGTAACTGAACAGGCAATGTAACAAGTGTGGGATACCCGGCATTCCTCTCTGTTATTGACAACGCTTCCAACAAGTCTCAAATTACCACGGTCACAGCGTTTCTTTGAAGGCCCTGGCTTTCGGGGAACTCACCCGGGGCCACACTCCGTAGCCCCCGCTGAGCCGCAGGTGGGAAATGAGAGACGGTTTGGAATTCAAAGGTAAGCCTTGAGGCCCAACTACATGCACACGGGTTCCTCCAGGTTGTTCTAGGTCAACCTAGCACTCGACATCCCTTGGTGAGGTCTAAAATTGAAGTATGGAATGAGGCAGCTTTGCGTGGCGCTAGAAAAGAGACCGATGCCAACTTCAACGACGTATTTTCACGAGGCTCTCATCCAGAGCAGATGAACTAGGACTCGCCCGAAAACCAATGCAAATGCATGGGCTTTTGGTGATACCTCATGTATATCGGCATGGGTTCCTAGGGGTCGAATTGAGGAAGATGAGGGGCAAGCTTCCACAATTCAAATTTTACCCAGTAAATGTTCACCTTTTTCTTTTAATTTGGCTGGGCTATTCCGACGACAGAAGGTCGAAAGGGATTCCATCCTCGACGAATGAGTGTCGGTTGGACTGCACAAAGTGTACCTTATGCAGTTAGCGAGTTTGGCAAGGCCTAGCCCGAATGCAGTCGTCACGTGATGATAGCCGCGCAGTCAAGGTTTTTCCCGCTCAACTCACGACAGACATCATTTCACCCACATGCATCTTGAACCACCACGACTACCCAACCCCAGCCAACTCTCAACGACGCACGAAGGTTCATGTTGGACTGCAGGGAACTGCGCACAATGTCCTGAATTCATTTTCGACGGCCTTTTTGACAAGGAGAGGACTCTGCACCTCCGGGTGGCTTGGGGATACGGGCTGACGGAATGGCGGTGTCTGAAGCCTGCCGCAGTGAATCTTTGGCCACAGCGGATGATCGTGGAGGATAAAGATGGACCTGAAACTTCCAGACGAAATTCTGTCTGTGCCGCTGTTGCAATTTTGCCATTTGTGGGAAGCTTCCCCCAACGACGAAGACGGAGAGGCAGCCTCGCCATACCCCAACATGCGCCCGATGCGCCGACCTGACGATATCGATGTCCAATTGCTGCCACGCCATATCGTGGCTAACATGGCTACCCTCGAACTCAGAGACAAGCAAATGGGGTGATTAGAGAGTCATATCACCGGCGGAGCTCATCGTCGCCTCAGAAAGGCCAATAAGCGGTGACGGCGTGCCTCAGTCGGTTGCAGACGTTTTCGGAGGATGGTTTCACGAGGCATTGATGCCAAAGATAAGCCCAGCCAAAGGGCTCATCATTGAAACGAGCGTCGTCGCCATGTCGAGAGGCGAGCCCAAGGCTTCATGCCGAAAGTGCCAACCCGATCCCTCACATGCGGCAATTACGGCTACGACCGTTCATGCCCCAACTCTGTCGAGGCACTCATGCTCTTGCCCTCCGTCAACGTTGACATCTTGGCATATTGCTGCCGCCGCCGATGCTGGCCGTCGGTAGACGTGGGTATTCGGCCATTCATCCGGGACCCAGTTGCCCTGAGCGCACGCTGTTGAATATTGTGCTGCAAGCGGGGTTTGGCAGGCCATTGGAGGAACTGGCAATTGTGGGCGCGTAAATCGTACATAGTGACATTGTTGCCTCGATCTCATGCCTTCCTGCACGGTAACAGGCAGAAGGAGGACAGATAGTTTGCAAGGGTTTGTAAGGGATAACACCTCAAATTTGCGGCTGGCTCGGTTCTGGCAAGGATGAGGTCGGAGCTCAGGCTGGCTGGGTTCTGGCTGCATCAGACGAGCTAGAATGATTGTGGGAGAGAGGTAGAAGGAATGCGGCCGTGGTTCTGCAAGTGCACCACTGTTGGGGACGTTGATCACTTCCACGGATTTTCTGAGCCAGCGATTTTTCGTGGTGGTTTTGGCGTGCTGCATCTGCGACTAGACACCACACGCCGACACGCCGACCACCGACACTGCAAAATCCTGCGACCACGGAGCTGGATAGCGCGGTGTTTGTGGATGCCCTGTTCCCACGAGCGCAGCTTTGCATCTGCAAGACTGCACAGCCGCTCACTTTTCTAGTGTCGACTGACTGGTGGTTTGGCGGCACCACAATGATACCTCGACAACTGCATATCACGCTTACCAGACCGCGATATCACGTTATCGGGAAAACTTCGGCAGGCAACGTGCTCACACCTAAAAACTCAAATCGTATCGGCTGTAGCGATGGAGTCCTACCACCGTAACCGCCCTCGACATGTCGCCATGAGAGACGACCGCAGACCAGGCGATGAGCGCAGAGACCGAGGCAGAGCTGGTCGAGAAGTGACACGCTCCCGCAGATCTCCTTCGCCTCCCCCACGTCGACCTCGAGAATCCGACAGATTGCCCGACAGCAAGCCGTGCGATCCCCCTCCCGACAAGTTGCAGCCTTCCGGCCGAAGTCACCATAGAACACGCGAACGCAGCAGAGAGCGGCCTCGTCGAGCATCGCCGTCGCCCGCCCGTCGCGACAAGCATAGGGGAGACTCTCGTGATCGATCTCGTGGCAGGGGCACTGGGGAGTCGCGGCGCGAATCCCGATCCAAGCACCCGCGAGACCGAAGTCGAGGACTACATCGGGGTGACGGCCCCGCGCCTCTATCTTCAAAGCGATTGAGAAGCCGAAGCCTTGACAGGACCGCCGCGGAAAGCAAGAAGGTCAGACGAGATAACAGCCCGCGTCGTGATCACCGGGATTCAGCACCTTCTGGAGACGCTGGCCGGAGTGCACGAGGCTCACCACGCCCGTCTCGACAATCACCCAGTCCCGATCGTCGCGAATACCGATCAAAACCCAAGGAAAGGAGTCGGCGAAGCCATCGAAGCAGGTCCCGCTCGCCCGAAAGAGATAAACGAAGAGATCGACGTGATCATTCCACGTCGCGCCGACGTGAGCAGTCCCACACTCGTAGAAGGGAACGGTCTCCGCTTCCGCATCGTCAAAGGTCACCAGTCAGACCTCCCTCTACATCCGCGAGAAGTGACCGTCGCCCAGCATCACCGCGACGCAGTTCCAGAGATAGGCAGCGCCAGGGGCCGTCCCAGTCCCGCGCTTCCACTCGATCCCTTAGTAGGGGGTCAGGCAGACGAGTGCAACAGGGCGACGAATCCCGAGTTGCTTCCAAGTCTCAACCGTCCTCTGGAGCCAACAGCGTAGAGGTTAGCATGAGTGGCAGAGGCAATCACCGTGGAGGGTTTGCCTCTCAGGGGCCGCCGGCGTTCTCTCACAGCCAGCAGTACAGTGACCCACGACAATTTTCTCAATCCCCGCAACCAACCCCCAACTCATACAACGGATCCCCAAACCAGTCGCCGTACGGGGCTGGCAGGGGAAGCTGGGGTTCTCAGTTCTCTCCAACACAGTATGTCGAACCCTATTTTGTCAAATCACCATAACACTTCTGCTCACCATCTTTTAGTCAATACCCCCCTCAGTATTCTCAGTCCAACTATGGACCCCCGACCGGACCGTCGGGTACCTATACGCCAAACCCATCTTACTCGCCACCGCCGTCCGCCCCGACAGGACCTATGCAAACGAATTATGCTCATCCCAATTTTCGAGGCAATTTCCGTCCGGGATCTCGAACTCCTTTCGGGCCGGGCCGCGGCGGCTACAGAGGCAATAGCTTCAAGAGTACTAGTACTGCGCAGTGGACATCCAACACCTCAGGCGCCGGTTCTCGGGCCGATGACATCAAGTCCCAGCAATCTACAACACCTGCTCAGAGCAGCAAGTCAGATGTTGGCGATAATGCAGATGATGTCGAGAACCCGTTTCGTCCGTCTAAAGACCTGCAGGTCGAAGACACCACACCGTCTGACAAGGCTCCCGAGAGTAATTCACAACGAACCGAAAAGGCTCCCCCATCCGGGCCGGCTGCTCAGTCGGCGTCGTCATCGTCGTCGAAGTTTAGCTTTGCGTTTAAGGCATCTGCAAAGCCCATTCCGACGGCGCCCAAGCCTGAGATTTCTAAAAAGTTCAACGCAGCTCCGGCAAAGCGGGATATTTCACATCAAAATGACTCCAAGGAGCGGGATCGGGAACGGGATCGGGAACGGGAGCGTGACCGAGACCGAGACCGAGGCAGAGACAGAGACAGAGACCGCGAACGTGATCGCGAACGCGACCATGATCGAGAACGCGATCGAGCCCGGGAGAAGGACAAGCAGATCGACAAGGACATTCTTCGGAGTGCCCCGACCGAACCAGCGTCGGCGAGGGCTCGCCAGGAGCCCAGGCAACCTCCTCCGGGGCCCCGACAGGCCGCCGCTCCAAGAACTCGAAAGATCAAGAAGACGATGAAGCGGTTGAAGCCAGGGCCGAAACTTGGGGACGACCTCATCAATTCTGAATCTGTCTATTTCCGCAAGCCTGGCAACGAGTCCGTCGTTGGCTCAGGCACGTACGGCAAAGTCTTCAAAGCCTTACACGTCTACACGAAAGGACTCGTCGCCCTCAAGCGTATCCGCATGGAGGGTGAGAGAGACGGGTTCCCCGTCACAGCAGTCCGAGAAATCAAGCTGCTCCAGTCGCTGCGACATCCGAACATTGTTCAGCTCCAGGAAGTTATGGTGGAAAGGAACGACTGCTTCATGGTCTTCGAGTACCTCTCACACGACCTGACGGGTATTTTGAACCATCCGTCCTTCACGCTTGATGCGGCTCGGAAGAAGCACATGACCATGCAACTTTTCGATGGACTCGACTATCTGCACAAGAGAGGTGTTCTACACCGAGACATCAAGGCTGCCAACATCCTCGTCAGCAGCGACGGCGTCCTCAAGCTCGCAGATTTCGGTCTGGCACGCTTCTACGCCAAAAGACACCAGCTAGACTACACCAACCGAGTCATTACGATTTGGTATCGCTCGCCAGAGCTATTGCTTGGCGAGACACAGTACGGCCCCGCTTGCGATGTCTGGAGTGCCGCTTGTGTCATGGTGGAGATCTTCACCCGCCATGCCATCTTCCCCGGTGACGGAAGCGAGATCAACCAGCTGGACAAGATCTATGCCGTGATGGGAACCCCGAACAAGGCGGAGTGGCCGGGGCTGATTGACATGCCGTGGTTCGAACTGCTACGTCCTGGATACCGACGGGCAAACACTTTCCCCCACAAATACCAGGACAGGCTGCCGGCATCTGCTTACCGACTCTTGGCCGCGATGTTTTCTTACGACCCCGCCAAGAGGCCGTCGGCCGCCGAAGTGCTCGCAGACGCGTACTTTACCACCGAGGACCCGCCTCCGCAACAGGCTGTGGAGTGAGTTTCCCCTATTCGAATCCCTCCTCTATGACTGTAGTACTAATTGAATTTCGTAGGCTTGCTGACTTGGACGGCGACTGGCACGAGTTTGAATCAAAGGCACTCCGACGCGAGAATGAGCGCAAAGAAAAGGAAGCGCGGCGGGCAGCAGCATCGGCCAAGGATAACAACAAGTCCCGGGACCGTAAGAGGGAACCCGAGGCTCACGACGACCGTGGCGACGCTAAGAGGGTCCACGTGGAGACGAAGCCGGTGGCCCCTGTCGAGCGTCCCAGGGCTTAGAAGACCCGGCGGCGTTGAGAATAAGGCACCGCGACTATCAGGTTCCAGTTTCCTCAACACGGCGAATCAACACCATTCACACCTCTTGTTTCTTACACACACTTGCATTGTTTGCGTTGGCATGGCGTTGGGGAATTTTCAATGAGGGGGTTTTCACGCATGGGTTGAACGGGGGCTAGGGCATCGTTCTTACCCGAGCTTGGCTTCTTATAAACAGAGGATCATTCTTAGGGATGAATCGGTGATGGGAAGAGCCATCGAAAGGTGAAACGACAGTTGCGATTGCTTCATCAGTATCGAGAGGGGCCGTAGGATCCGATGGTCACCGCAAGATAACTTGGCCGGGTGTCGCAATGTACGTGTCTGAGAATTGTGGTATAGGTCAACGCGGTGTGAGAAGAATATACCGGGAGACGACGACGATGATGTCCTTGACATGCCCATAATCCCTCGCTGTCGTGTCTCAGTGACCGTGATGTCCAGGCGCGTCCCAAACATCGCCCTACGAAGGTCACACGCTCACACGAACAACGCAAACACTTCTCAAGAAAGGGTTGCACGCCTATATGTCTCAATTCTCAATCTGAAAGTAAAATAAAACACAGCCATAGTTCCCTCCTGACCCAGCCTGTTCCCATGCCATGCCCTCTCATTCTTGTGTGTATCATTGAAGTCGTCAAATCATTCGTCGTAGCTGTACTGCTTACAGTCTTAATAAGCCGCAACCCCTATTCTGTCGGGGCGTCGTCTCCTATCTGTGTTTTTGTGTATAGCCTTCCGCTTTTATATGGGGTATCAAATCCACGTCTCTTTTTTCTTCGGCACCGTCCTTTTTGATATGGAGGCGATCAAGCCCAGGGGTGCCTCGTCATACCACACCTTTTGTCCATGCCAGACATCACGCGTATTAGCATCGGGGGCCAGCCAGTATCCTACTGGCTCAGGATTGACCCTCGACGCCCTTTCCCTTGTTTTTGATCTCCGATGTCTTGAGCAGTTCACGCAAGCTCCCCTCAGCATGGCTTCTCGACACGCCGCCCTGTGCAGACGCCGAGCCGAGTCCTACGACAGGCGGCAATCTCCACGGCACCCACCCAGTTAAACCAGCCAAGAGTCCCGTCGGTGACTTCGTCTGATCGGGCTGGGTCGAGGTCTCGTGGTGCTGGGGCTCAGACATACCAGCTCGAGTACTTTCGTCCGATGATTTGTGGCAATGGCGATGCGCCACGGTCTCATCGACATCCGTCCGAACTTCGAGATGGCTCGTCGAAGTCTTTGGCAAAGCCAGCTCGCTGACTAAAGCCGTCGCTGAGCTTCTAGGTGAGGCAGGTTTGTTGACGGCCATCGCCTGTCGTGTGCTTTCCAACATGGCCGTGGCGAACGACGACGACTTGCTCCTCACTAGTGGAGGCTGCTGATCCTTTTGCTCCTTGCTCGATTGCCCCTCGCCCTCGCTCACCGACGACGTCGGCGTAGTGCTCCCCGAAGACTTCCGTGCGGCTCTGCCTCGCACCTCGGCGGTGATCTCTGCAGCCGACTTCTTCTTTGACTTGTCCTCCTCAGAAGATCGACTGGAAGACATAATGGTCTCCAATGTCCCCATTGCTATACTTCTCCTCCTGCCAGTACTCCGCCGCTTCTTGTGTCTGCGCTCCTCATCCGATACAACGGCTTCCAGTGTCGGACCAGCACTCTGGCGTTGGCGTCTGGAAGACGATGCATGACTTTTGAAAGATGTGCCGGATCCGTGAGGTGCAACGTGAACCTCGTACTGGTTACTCAGTGAGTATCGCGATCTGGCACATATTTCGGCAATTCGATCGAGGTCGGCGTTGATATTATTGTCACCCTCATCTGCCTCAATGTTGGCCATCATGCTCTTGAAGCTATAAGCCTCCACAGGTGGGAGCTTGGCCAGGGCATCCTGGCCTTCCAGACGCTGTTTCGCCATTCCTCTGGCCATGCTCAGACCTCCATTCTGAGCAGACTTGCTCCCGCCGAATGAGGTTCGAAGAGCTATGATGCGCCGTACAGAAGCTGCGGAGCCGCTCACTACGGACGAGGCAGTCCGGGGGCCGAGACCGCCTCCGCTTATACCGTTGCTGCGACTGGTACTGGTGGGTCGACTGTGAGATCCCGAGTATGTCCTAACAATGACGGGCTGAGAGTATGTACTGCTCTGGGCACCAGTGGACTTGGCGTAGCGATGGCGGGAAGGGTAATTGCTGTTGAGCTCGCGCAGGGCAGAAGTACGATGTGCAGCGGTGCTATCATCGAGAGGAATCGGCTTGCCCTCAGCTGTCGAAGGAACAAGAGATGTCGAGGACGTGTTGGGCTGGAAGAGCGGGGGGAATGAAAATGGTAAAGAGTCTCGCGACGCCCTCTTGGACGCGAGCGAAGAAGGGAATTGAGCTGCCACAGGGCCACCTCCAAGACGAGTACCTGAGGGGCGATGGCGGGATTGAGATGAACCAGATTGGTCCTGAGGAGGGATCTTCCCTGAACCCATCTTTGCTGTAGGTTGCGGATTGCGCGACAGCCTATATGTATGTACAATGGGATGGCAGCATGAGCCGCCAGGATAGCAGTTTTGAAGGGCAGGTTGGCGTTACTATGTCGTGCGGTAGGATGGGGTTGGGGGAAAAAAAGGTCAGATCAGCGGATGCGGAGGCATGGTTAGCTGGTGTCGGATGTCGCGTGCGGGAGAGAGAGATATGTCGAGTGCCGTCGCTGACCGGGATGTGGTTCGCGGGCGAGGGGAGAATATGCAGGTAGGTTTTTTAGCAGATGTGCAAATCGTCCGTTCTGGATCTGTGTCCTTCCACATTCGCGATGGGCGGTCTCGGGGGTGGAGATGGGTTAAGTTGAGACAGATAGATACGGGCGACTGAGGAGTGTACGTCCGAGTAGCGTGACTGCGCCGTGGAGGAGTTCTATGAACAAGCAATCCGGATCGCCTCGAGATGCGTAGACAAGGTTGCAAACTGGATTCCCCGCAGCGATTGCAGGATCCAGAATCCTCTCGAGAAGAGGAGCAAGGTGGAGGGGTAATGAGACAGATCGATGGAAGGGGAAATTAGAAAGGGGAAGAAGAAGAAGAAGAAGAAGAGTATTCTGGCAATGTTTAGGGTGAAGTTGCATCCGGCTGTAGCGTTGGGTTGGGGCGGGGGAGGCGGGAGGCATGAGGCAGAAGAGAGAGGGTACTTGCAGGTTAGACCACAACCATAGGTGCAAAAGAGGTAGACACTGGCAGCCAAAGGCAGACTTTTGGTAGGCCGCTAGAGACAGACTCGAGAGGCTATTGCAGGCTAGAGCAACGCGGCACCAGCGAACGAAGCAGGTGCGTGCTGCACGAGTGTCGTGGCTGCTGTTCAAAGGGTGGCCCGACACCGATCCCCTGTCGCTGCCATTGAGTATCGTCCAATGACGGCGGGCCTTACCGTGCCAAACGGCAAGACGGTGAGACGGTGGCACGGCCCCCCCGCCGTTCGCTCTTCCGTCCCCCCTCACCACCTCAGCGCAGCAACTGGCCAACTCCGCGCCCGGGCCATAGTCAAAAATGACCAGTCACCACCACTACTGCCAGCGCCAGTTGTTGCCCCCATTGGCATCCAGTGTCCAATCCAGACGGCGTCTCTTTTCGTTGAATCAGACTGCGTCTTTCCAAACTGGAGATGTCGAACAATTTTTTCTTCTTCTTTTTGGAGTCGCGGGCGGATACCAAGAATGAATCTGTAAGAATATCTCAACCCTCCGCCTAAGGGACGGCCAGACCATTGCCAACATCTCCCTGCCTTACCTTAGACCTAGCGCCAGATGGCTTGGGTTTGCATACGGGTACTGACATTGTAGAGTCCCGCCACGATAACCAAGTTGTGGATCCGATAGCGGCCGTCGCCCAGGCTTAATCAATAATTTCCGCACACATGGCACCGTCTGCCCAGCCCTGCCGATTCGGCCGCATTGATTTGAGGATAGGGCCAAGCGAGATGCATGCTGCTCGCTCAATAGAATCCCGCAAGAAATTCGGGTTACGCATTTTCATGACACGAAAAACATGTTTACAACCACCCGGTGGCAGAGGCTAGGGACGAGGACCAGGCAGGATGCGTTGGCATTCAAGATCCGGTACCATCATCTGCACGCGGGCCAGGCACGCGCACGCCGTTGGTCAAGTTTCTGATAGTGGTATTACTCTTGTTCATCATCATACATTCTGCGCGCCGTCAAATAGACATCGTCTCCTCGCTGTCGCTAGCTGAGCAGCCGCCCCAAGGATGCTGTCGCCTGTGTGGACATCGGCCTCATGTAGTCCTACTATGTTGCCGTGCGTGTGCCACACTGCAATTCTACCGGAGCTACTGCCACCGATAGCCTCACTAGGCGACTTTCTAGTCTTGCAACTACTCAATGAGTCGGCTGGGCAATCGTGCCGTAACCGTGGCCGCCGCTCTGCACGTTGTCGCTGTAAACACCTGGCGCGCGGCCAGTGATGATGCGACCTTCCCTCGCCTGCTCCTTGCGATCATAGTATACGTATTCGAGGTAAAATGCGTGGATGTGACCGGGAATGTAACCCAGGATCGTCAGACAGATGTTGACGAGGAGATCTGCCGTCTGGTCAGCGCCATTCCAACTAGCCATCGTCTCCTAGCAAGGCATGGACACTGGACAACTCACCCATGCCACAGCCAGCGACTGCGTAGACACCGATAGGCGGCACTGTAGTCCAAGTTAGCATTTGCCCCTAGCATATTCTTTCAGCCAACGTTGTATTGCCGTGACGTACCCAGAATGGTGATGAGGATGAGAAAGACTGCGGAGATGGCACCCATTTTGTTTGTCTGATATTGTTTGTTGGAAGCTACAATCTTCGAGGATGATGCTTGATGGATGAATGTTCTGATTCAGTTGAATGCTCTCAAGGGTATCAAGTGTGTGGTCGTTGTGTGTTTGGCAAAGGGAAACGACGTCAACCTCAGCCGAGGCGAAGAGAACCTTAAATGCACCAGCCCGCCCAGACACAACCTGGCGTTCCTGGCAAGGCGTTGCGGCAAACGGCCAAAAGTTGCCGTGCTCTCGCCTGCCTTGTCTTGCTTTGCGAGAGGTGAACAGGTTGCGCGTACGCCCTGACGCCTCCCTCCACCTCGACCTACGTAACCTTAGCAGCCAATGCCAATAGGCGAATCCCATCGTGACGTGGAATGGATGGCCAGTAGATGACGTAAACGGCACGTGCCGTTTCACTCCCGGCCGCGCCAGGCCTTTCGGTTCCTGGTCCGATGTACGTATCTTGCTTCATTTGATGCTCAAAGTTTGCCTGCCATGTTTGGCAAACTTGTCGGGCACTTGGTGAAGCAGCATCTTTCTTCAGTTCTCAAGCCATCCAGAGGGAGAATCGCACCCTTCGAACTGAGAATCGCGGCGATCATCGGAAAGTCCGATGAGACGCGGTGTGCCCTGAACCAGGAAGGCATCCGGCTTGCTGCCGACCACACATGGTGCGTGCCTGAGACATGCAGCTCTCTAATTCCCCGTGTGGGACCAATCATGCAAAACACAGAGCAGCATCCCCCGGAGCACTTACATGTGTAAGTAGTGATGATGCTCTACGACAGAGGACAATTGCCAAGGGGGCTTTCAAATTTGGGGCTGCTGTTGACGCGTGTCACCCATATCACTGGAAGATCAACAAACCATCCAACTCGGTGAAGTGGGAGCTGAGCCATCGTTAGAACGCCTGGCATCAAAGGGTCCTTCGGCTCGTTGTTTCGTTACGATGACAAAGTCTAGGATGGCCGTACCAGATAGACACCGGTGTGTTTCAATGGCGACCGATGTTATTATGTCGAGCAGGAAAGTTTCGCATTCAAAAACTCCAGCTGATCTCTAGCCATGGTCCAAGCTTCTCACAAAAGCCTCCATGTGCCCAGGCTGGAACCTCGACAACAAGATCAGTCTTTGCAATGGCCTGTTAAAGGCTATCGACCGCTGAGGTTTGGAGTTGACGGGATACAACGAGAAGTCCACTGGTGGTTAGTATGAATTGTTGCGTACCGAACAGGGACCAGCATCGCGGTGTCGCTCCGCAGCGAGCTTTTGAAACCAAGGACGCGTAGTTGCTCACTTGCCTCCAGATGACATAAACACACGAAGTATGCAAACGGCAAATGTCTGCCCTACCTAAATGAGATGAATCTCGCATATTTTGACTCCCCATCGGAAATTCGAAATAACGTTCTGACAAATGTGATTCATCTCGGCTGAGGCACGTCGACAACAGCCCATTTCCAAGCCGAAAATGCTTCGGCCTGGCTCTGATTAAGGCTACAGGCTACAAGAGGGCATTGCCGAAAATACAGCCGCAATGGAACCCCGATCAACGATCGCCGATCAAGACATCACTGCTTGGCCGGGCCTGGAAGATTGCTTCCATGCACCGGAAGGTGAAAGAAGAGTGAACATGATGACTCCGAGATCGACTTGACTGATTTGTATGGTCGGCTCATGAGATTTTGCGATACTGCTGGTATGGAGATGCTGACGAAGTGCGGTGAAAGTTGGAAATGTTCTATTCCTCCAAGAGGCAAGGCGGCAAGGCCTGGTGCTAGCTCCAAAGGCCCATCCGTGGCAGATGGGGGCCGCCGGAAATGGTGCAAACTAAGACACTTGTTCCAACCTTCTCGAAGCTTGAGCCTTGTGAAGTGTATTGGAGAAAAGGGTCTGAGCCGTCGAAATCAGAGGCATGCGGCAACCCTCGCTGGACTGCTCATTCGTGTGTCCAGAGGTACCTGACCAGCCAGCCACTGCAGGCCCACTCTAGAGCCGGAAACTTGGGGTCCATGATTGCCTACAGTGTATCCCCCTGCGGAGAGGTGCTTCGATGCTCTCCTCACGATCGGTACCGAGCTGTACTGTCATCGCTACCTGCAAAGACGTTGGGGAACCAGAGGCAGCGACAGGGTAGGCCTAGGCGATACATCATTGTGGGCTGATACCTTGGGCGCAAGATGACGCCTCGCGTGTGCCGGCAAGTGAGGTATGGCTATGTGGGGCTCTTTTAACGTTCGCTCTCCTGAGTCCTGCTACAACGGGGGCTAGCAACAAAGCCGCAGAGCCGTTGGATTCGCGAAAGGGCGGATTTTGTGTGCTGGCTGGTTCCGTGGGGACATTTGCTTCGAAACGTGATATCCCCATGGACTCTGATGCCCTCTGGAACGTCCCAGAGCCGTTGTTGACCAAGCTGGTCGCGAAAACCTAGCTCAGTCTGTCCACGTGGGAGACAGGGAGATGCCGACCAGTGGCGGCAATCTTGGTGCAGACTGCCAAAATTGTCTGTACTTGGAGGCAGACTGAGGCAGCCAAAGACAAGTAGATGCTCTGACACGAACTCAAACGGCCAAATTCCCAAGACTTGTCTTGGACAGACGCTTCGCGGCTTGCCGTGCAGCTTGGGGTAAAGGTAGATGCGGAATGAGGCAACTCTGTCCAACGCCTGTCAATAGCTGGCCAGTCTCTTTTCATAGGTACTATGTCCAACGGCCAGTTGGCGAATTGCCATGGTGGGCTGCTCGGGGTATGAGTGCAGCTTCGAGGTCAGGAAGGTGACGAGGGTGGGGAGGCATCCGGAGACTGAAGTACCTATACAGCACAACAAGTACCTAGGGCACGGTGCCGAAGTACCCCGTTGTCTTGGAGAATCTGGAGCATCGAGGCGAATGAGGCGAGCCAACACGCTGTCTAAGCTATTCACTCCCGTCCCCTGTAAAATTGTGCCGTTTTGGAGACTGTGCTTGTGCAATTATGGATAGCTCAGAGTGATTCTGCTTTGCAAGTTGGCCGATCAATTAGCATGTGTTGACATGCTCAGAACCCAAAACAGGAATTCCTTCGTTGCGGAGTATCCAAGTGTGTGACAAAGCCGCAGACGGGCCACCCCGGGAAATGATCGAGGTCGACACACAGCTGGGACGCTGTGTGCCGCTTGTAGTTGCAGTACTCCATAATTACCAACTACCTTGGTCC